AAGAGGAGAAATCAGGAGCGGAACAGGAGGGAGGAAGGAAGGGACTGAGATGTAAACATGAAAACATCTTCCTTCTCTTCCCAGCCTTCATGTACCGCCTGGATGGCAGCACCAGCCACCTGAATCTCAAGGTGGAAGACCTGAGTGTGGAATGGGACGCCATGGGCGGGAAGGTGCAAGACATGAAAGCGCGAGAAAAGGACGGGAAGGGCCGAACCGCCTCCCCGGTTAATTCTCCAGCCAGGTAAGTAAATACCTTTGCTCGGCTGTGCTGGTTTATTTCTTCATTTAGTCAGCCTTGAAATTTGATCACATGGGGAGGCTACAATGGCCATAAGTGTGAAAAATGGTCCTAAGTCACTTTTTTCAGCGCCGTTGTATGTTTGAATGATCACTAAACGAACGGTTGTAAGTCGAGGACTACCTGTATAGCTTAACTCTGGCAAGATTCTGTCTCTATGGTGGGAGCGGATAAAGAATTGAACTTTGGCTGGATTGTTTTATGTCATTCTCAAGCTAGGCTGATAAATGCTGCTATTAAATGAATGCAGGTAGTCCTCAACTTACAACAGTTCATTTAGTGACCATTTGAGGTTACCACAGCACTGAAAAAAGTGACTTACAATGGTTTTTTTTAACACTTACAACCATTGCCGCATCCCTCCCCTGGTCATGTGATTTACATTCAGAAGCTTGGCAACTGACTCGTATTTATGACGGTCGCAGTGTCCCCAGGGTCATGTGATCCTCTTTTTCAACCTTCTGAAAAACAAAGTGTAATAGGGAAGCCCGGTTCACTTAACGACCGCGTGATCCACTTAACAATAGCAGTGATTCGCTTAACAAACGCAGCAAGAAAAGTCGTAAAATGGGGGCAAAACTCATTCCACACGTGTCTCGCTTTAGCAACAGAAATTTGGGGCTCAGTTGTGATTGTAAGTCTCGGGCCAAGAGATACAAAATGGTGCCTTTATGATTTGACGCCTTGGTTTCTCCAACGCGGCGTTGTCACAGTGTGCAAAAGGGGGCTGTGTTCCAAATGATACAATCAGGGGTGGGATTCTACAGATTCGGACCAGTTCGGTTGTGTTAAGTTTTCACCTGGTTTGCCGAACCGGCTGGCCCTGCCCACCCCACCCCGTCCCTCCCAGGAGTCTCCACGTGGCCCATTTTCAATGGAGGGAAGGGCAGGATCGGCGTGGAAGCTCTGGGAGCGGGAAAAACGGGCCTTCTGGAAGTCCAGAAACGGGCCTGTTTCCAGCTTCCAGGGGGCCTCCAGAGCCTGGGGGAGGCTGTTTTTGCCCTCCCAGAGGCCCGAGGGAAGCCTCCGGACCCTCGGGAGGGCGAAAATTGGCCTCCTCCGGGCTCTGTCAGCCCATCGGAAGCCAGAAACAGGACGTTCCGGTAGGCCACGCCCACCACGGACACACACCCCATCCAGCAACCCAGCAGCGAACCAGTTGCTGGGATTTGGGAATCCCATCCTTGGATACAATTCCCAGACACACACACACACACACACACCCATTGTCACCCTCTCTTGAACGTGGTCTCAGGACCTCCACCATCTCTGGATTTTCTCATCCATAGGTGCGTCCAGTCTCCAAAAAGGATGCCAACAGGCCGCGGAGGGAGAGACCGATTCACCGCCGAATCCTACACGGTGTTAGGTAAGGATCTCGTCAGTATCCTGGGTAAAATTTGGGGTGCTACAAGAAAAAAAAAATAACTGATCCAAGGAGGAAGATGCAGGAAAGGTTTCTGTTTATTTAGAAGGGCCAGCAGCATGTTTCTGGGGTGGCTGACAAAATGAGGGTTGAGATAGGCGAGCTTTTATAAACTCTGTGGGGCTTTGTGATTGAGATGCCTGTTGGTTGTGAAATGTACTTTGACCTGTGATTGAGTGTGCCCTTAATTCTAATTATTGTTGACTGCCTCCCATTGTGGCTGGGAGGTCATGCCCTGTCCTTGGAGCTGGGTGGGGGAATGTAGATTTTAGGAGTCTATGTTTTTCTACTTTTTAATCCCATCAACTCCACCCTTCTGTGGGAGCTGTGGCTGTAGGTGTTTCATGAATAGGTTGGCCTGGCTGTTTGAACGGGTACAAAATATCCAGGGGTGAGATTCAAATTTCTTAATAACTGGCTCTGTGGGCACAGCCTAATTTGTGAGTGTGGCTTGGTGGTCACATGACTGGGTGGGCGCAGCTTGTATGTAAATATTGTAAATATTTATGTAAATATTGAATATTTTTTTTATAAAAAAGAGCAACTTTTACCCAAAATCAGGCAAAGCAGGCAGGCAGATTGAGTTGCTCACAGAATCACAGATTCACTCAGAGATCTACCTTTCTGCCATCTGATGCCTGAGTCTGCACTGAAAAATAGAAGCTTCAGTCCTAAAAGAAGGTTCAGCTCTGCTTTTAGATTAGCTAGAAAGCAAGAAATCCAACGATTTCCTGCTTTCTAGCTAATCTAAATCTCCCGGCACAGTTGACAGAACAGCTGATGGTCGGGGGGGAAAAAAGGAAAAATAGCACCTTACCAAAAATTAGGGTAATGCAGGCAAGTTGGATGGCGCGCATGCCAGGTAAGGAGTGAGTGGGCGGGGCGAGAAGGGAGAGGCAGGGCCAGCCAGAGGTGCGACTTGCCGGTTCTCCAAACTGGGCAGAATCATAACAACCGGTTCTATACAACCAGTCCGACCAGGTAGAATCCTACCCCTGAAGATATCCATCTCTAAAGACTTCAGGCTTCTGCTTGAGGCTGTTTTCCTGTAGCAGGAAGACTGGGGTTGCTTTCTGCCTTTAAGAACATGTTTCTCCTCTTCTCCCTTAGGGAAAATAAAATATTCTGCCGCTTTTAATATTCCCCAAAATATTTCATTCTCTAAGGGGGGGGGACTTCCCACAGGGGGTCTTGTGAACTTCTGGGAGTTGAAGTCCACAAACACTGGCTGAGCATTCTGGGAGTTGAAGTCCACACATTTTAAAGCCGCCAAGGTTGAGAATTAAACTCAGAACAACCAGATCTAGGTTTATTGCAGCCAGTTTCTCAAGCTCGCCGACTTTAAGACGCGTGGATTTCAGCGTTTAAGTCCACGCGCCTTAAATCCCTGAAACATTTGAGAAACATTGATTTTAGCCAATGAAAAGCAAGCAAACGGATTTATCAGCCAATCCAAGGACTCGATAACTCTTCCCGTCACAGGTGACACCTTGATTGACAGTGGTGACCACTACTGGGAGGTACGCTACGATCGGGACAGCAAGGCCTTTGCGGTGGGCGTGGCTTATCGGACTTTGGGCAAGTTTGACCAGCTGGGCAAAACTTCTTCTTCTTGGTGCCTTCATCTTAACAACTGGCTACAGGTCAGCTTCACAGCCAAACACAACAACAAAGCCAAAATCTTGGACATCCCAGTTCCGGATATTCTAGGCGTCTATTGCAATTTCCACGAAGGTAAATTCTTACGATGAAATGAATGGAAAAGAAATTGAGTTGTTGTTATTATTATTATTATTATTAGTAGTATTAGTATTAGTATTAGTATTGTTGTTGTTGTTATTGTTGTTATTGTTACTGTTACTGTTACTGTTATTATTATACATGAGAGTCAGTAATAATAACAATAACAATAACAATAATAAAATAACATTTTTAGATCACATATTATCTCTTATTCATTAAACATGAAACTCAGTCAATTGAACATTTAAATTTGATTTAAATAAATATTTAAACATTTAATTATTATTACTATTACTACTAGTATTATTGTTGTAATAATAATAGTAATAGTAATAATTTCAGAAGATAACATCTTGTCCCCTGCTTGGGGATCAGGATGGAAAATGTCTATTCTGGTCTGGAGAGATTTACAAGAAGTCTCCCAGATGGGGTCAAAACAGTCAAAATGGCCGGCCCTTCTAGGTGAAGGAGTGTCGGCCATTTTGACTTTTTTGACCATTTCCTACTGATTTGGAAGTTTTGAAGAGGGATGAAGGATCCTTGAAGGGTGCTATGATCCCAACCCCACCCTTATTTTCAGGAATCCTAACGGCTGAATTTTATTTATTTATTTTATTTTATTTTATCCCTTATTTTAGGAAGGCTACTGGCTGAATTTGGGGATGCTCGGGTGTGGGGGGGGCTGAGAAATGGAGTCAAGGGTCAGGGGCGGTATGGTTGACCCCCTCCCAGGTTATTTGACACCCCCCCCCATTCGCTTTCTCTTTTCCCCAATATGGTTTCAGAAAACAGGATACGGAATTGTGGGCAAGCTCACAAAATGGTTCTCCAGCAGTGGGAGGGGTCCAAATGGCCACGATGAAAGATATACGGGTCATCCCCGACTTACAACAGTTCACTTGGAAGTTACGACCGCACCGAAAAAAAGCGAGTTACGGCCATTGTTCACCCGTGTGTCCCTTTCAGCATCTTGATGGTTGTGTGAGATTTACATTAGGAGGCTTGACAACAGACTCACATTTAGGATGGTCGCAGTGTCCCGGGGTCACTTTTGCGACCTTCTGACAAGCAAAATCCAAGGGGAAGCCAGATTCACTTAACAAACAAAATTCAACCGCAGGGATTCACTTAACAACGGTGGTTAGAAAGGTCGCAAAATGGGGCAAAACTCGCTCGACGAAGGCCTCGCTTAACAACAGAAATGTTGGGCTCAATTCTGGTCATAAGTTGAGGACAACCTGTGTTTCAACACACACTACAGGTATAAAGGGGAGGGGGCGTGTCCCTTCCCTAATGGATTCCCGTGATGGGCGTGGCCATTCAGGACTATGGGTGTGGCTGTTTGGTAGAGCTTTGGCTAGCCAAACAGAGCTTCCCTGGGGAGGAGCAGTCTACCTTAGAATGCTTACTGCCATTTCTTTCTGCCTCTCGGGGAGGAAGCCGGTAAATCCCGAAAGTACAAACTGTTTCCATTTAGCGACCGTTCAAAGCCACAACGGCGCCGAAAAAGGAGACCGTTTTTTTCACGCTTGCGACCATCAAAGTTGATGGGGAAGCCTGATTCGCTTAACAACCGTTTACTGGCTTGCATGACTCCCTCAACGACCACCTTGTTTAAATGAAGGAAATTCTGGTTCCGACGGTAGTCATAAACCGAGGACTGCCTGGACAAATGCCAGGAAGGCATAATCACTGAGGGGGGGGGGGGTTTGGGATGGGGGAGCTTCCTTAATTTTCCCTGTCAGACTGGGATAGATAAAAAATTTTGGGTTCCCGCTTCTACTTCTTCTTGTCCACATTCTCTCCTTTCCCTCACCCCCTCAAGAGCCCCCCCTTTCTTTTTTTCCTCTTTCTTTCTTTGCAGGATTTCTCTCCTTCTACAACGCCAAAACCAAACAGTTGCTGCACACGTTTCGGGCCAAATTTACCCAACCGGTTCTCCCGGCCTTTATGGTAAGTGGTTCGGAAGCGGTGGCGGAGAAGAAATTCGCGGGTATTATAAACTCTGGTGAAGATCTTTGAAATACTGTAAAAATGAAGTTTCTAGTCCTTAGGGTGGGATTTTTGCGGGAGGACGGGAGAGGCTGAGATCTAAGAGGTAAAGGTTCCCCTTGCCCAGGGGTGGGATTCTATCGGGTCAGACCGGTTCTATAGAACCGGTTGTTACGATTCTGCGCAGTTTGGAGAACTGGCAAATCGCGCCACTGGCTGGCCCCTCCCCTCCCCTCCCCGCCCACTCACTCCTTACCTAGCCTTCACCTAATTTTGGGTAAGTTGCTATTTTTCCTTCCCCCTCCGACCATCAGCTGTTCTGCTGTGCCAGGAGATTTAGATGAGGAAATCGTTGGATTTCTTGCTTTCTAGCTAATCTAAAAGCGGAGCTGAACCTTCCTTAGGACTGAAGCTTCTATTTTTCAGTGCAGACTCAGGTAGCAGATGGCAGAATGGTAGATCTCTGAATGAATCTGTGATTCTGTGAGCAACTCCATCTGCCTGCCTGCTTTGCCTGATTTTGGGCAAAAGTTGCTTTTTTTTTAATTATAAAAAATTCAATATTTACATACATGGTGTGTTGTGAGTTAATTTTGTGAGTTCGCCTGCTAGCAAATTTTATGAATTTACTTGCAAGCAAAGTTTATGCGATAGACTCAGGTAGCAGATTGCAGAAAGATAGATCTCTGAGTGCATCTGTGTTTCTGCGAGCAACTTAATCTGCCTGCCTGCTTTGCCTGATTTTGGGTAAAAGTTGCTTCTTTTTATAAATAAAATTAACATTGACATAAATATTTATAATATTTACATACAAGCCATGCCCAGCCAGTCGCATGACCACCAAGCCACACCCACAAAGTAGGCCACGGCCATAGATCCGGTTGTTAAGAAATTTGAATACCACTCCTGCCCTCGCACATACGTGCTAGTCGTACCAGTAGTTTCTGGTTCTAGGAGGCGGTGTTCATCTCTGTTACTTTGCTGTCCGAAGACGTCTCCGTGGTCCTGTGGCCCGCATGACTAAATGCCGAAGGCGCACGGAACGCTGTTCCCTTCCCACCAAAGGGGTCCCTATTTTTCTACTTGCATTTTTTTTACATGCTTTCGAACTGCTAGGTTGGCCAAGCTGGGACAAGTAACGGGAGCTCATTCCATTATGTGGCGCTAGGGATTCGAACCGCCGAACTGCCGACCTTTCTGATCGACAAGCTCAGTGTCTTAGCCACTGAGCCACCGCGTACCTTGGCTGAGATCTATCGAACCATTTAAAGGAGAAAAATTAATAGATCGGATCAAGGAAATGAATTATGCTGGACGAAATGACAGAACCAGCGGTGGGCTGCAATCAGTTTAACAACCAGTTGTGTTTAGCATGTGCAGCCAGCTGATGGTAGGATCTACCAGTTCTCTAGAATGGGTCCGAACTGGCAGCAGCCCACCATTGGACAAAACCACTTACCACCACCCCCTAAATTTATTAAATTATTAAATTAATACGCTGCCTGTCTCCCTCTGCAAAGCAACTCTGTGGTGGCTGATTTATATTTATTGATTATGTACGTTTATGCTCAAAGATTAGAAATCGTTCCTTTTTTCTTCCTTTATATCTAAATCTAGAGTATGCTACACTAGCCTTGGATGATGAGCAAAATAATTATTCAGATAGGTGGGAAATTAGAAGTGTAGAATTATGGAATCTTGGAAATGGGAGGGACCTTTGAGGGCATCCAGTCCACCCTTCTCTGTTGTGCAGGGGTCCAAATTAAAATGTTCCCCCATTAGATGGTGGGCCAGCCTGTATTTAAATACATCCCATTGGGATTTCCGCTAGCAAACTGCTCTTATTGTGAAGTTTTTCTTTCATGCAACCACAATATCTATTAAACTTAAATCTTAAATGTGTCGGGCTCTGGAATCTGTAAGGATTAGATCTTTTTCAATGTGACTTTCTTGCAGGTGTTTGAAGGGTATTATTAAATCTCTGTCTTCTCTTTAGCCCTTCACGTCAAAAGTCTTCCTAGTTTAATTTAATAATTCAATTCAATTTAATTGATTAAATTGAATAATTCCATTGATTAAATTTAATTAATTTAATGAGTTTCACTTAATAATTTAATTCAGCATAATGTCGTTTAATAATGCTGCTTTAAAATTTAATTTTAGTTGAATGTAATTTAATAATTGAATCTGGTTTGTTAAATTTAATTCATTAAATTAATAATTTATAAATGGTCCAATTCCCATCCTGACTCTGGGCATCCCACAGTATGAGGCAATTAAAAATAGAAGAATACAGAAGAATCACCTTGTGGCAAGACAGAAGGGAAAGGAGGGAAGGGAGATGAGAGAAGGGAGGGAGGGAGGAAAGAAGGAAGGATACACAGATCCTACAACGGCAGCCATCCCAAAAACAAAAACAAAAAGCAATAATCAGGCCCATCAAAATACTGCACTTTTCAACTGAGTGCTTAAAAAAACATGGAAAACAGGAATCTTTTCCAGCATTGTCCAAAATCTTTCCCCCCCTCCCTTGTGGGCTGAGACAAAATTTATTTTATCTCCCAGAACAAACATGTAGCAAGAGTGCTCTGAAGATAAGTGCATAGCTCAGGAGGAGCATCCATGGCAAAGAAGTCAAAAAAGTCAAAATGGCAGAGCTATGTCGTGCAAAGATTCCAGAGGGTCGGTCTGAGTGCATTTGTGGCCACCATGACTTTTGACCTCTATGTGTGTGTGTGTGGTGCGGTGGGCTAGAGGGAGGCTGTGAGTTCCATCCTGGGTACAGGCAGATATTTCTCTCTCTCTAGGCATGATGATAATATATCTGCTGAACAAAACTCCGCATTGGTGACAGGAAGGGCATCCGGCGAGTAAACACTCAGCTCCATTCAGTTGCCCAAACTTCACCCTGCAAGGGATTATGAGGTCATTAAAAGAAGATGATAGATATAGATAGATAATAGATAGATGGATGGATGGATGGATGGATGGATAGATAGATAGATAGATAGATAGATAGATAGATAGATAGATAGATAGATGATAGATGGATGGATGGATGGATGGATGGATGGATAGATAGATAGATAGATAGATAGATAGATAGATGATAGATGGATGGATAGATAGATAGATAGATAGATAGATAGATAGATAATGATAGATAGATAATGATAGATGGATGGATGGATAGATGGATGGATGGATGGATAGATAGATAGATAGATAGATAGATAGATAATAGATAGATAGATAGATAGATAGATAGATAGATAGATAGATAGATAGATAGATATACACACACACACACACACACCTTGCTTTTTAGGTTTTACAGCAGCCTCTTTGCTTTGCTTGTTATCTCTTGAATTTCTATAATTCTTTGGACCTGTTGCAAACTTTTTTCCCTCAAGCTAACTTTTGGTTTTTCTTTTCTTCTTGATCAGGTGTGGTGTGGCAGCTTCCACGTCTACTCTGGTTTGCAAGTTCCCAGCGCCGTCAAATGCCTTCAGAGGCGCAACAGCGCAACAAGCAGTTCCACCACCAGTCTCACTTAATGACGCCCATCACATTCCTCCTCTCCAAGACGGAGAGACGGTCCATTCACGGTCACAGACCCCACTGTATTTACAAAACATAATAATTACAATATATCTTCTTCTTTTTTCCTTCCAGGTTTTGGACCCAGGGGGTCTCCAAAGTTGGTGGTTTTAAGACTCATGGACTTCAACTCCCAGAATTCCCCAGCCAGCATGGAGGGCTTGGTCCATAAGTGGCACCAGCCTCTACAGTCCTGGGACATGAAGTTCCGTCTTCCAACCACGGGACGAGAGTTGTGAGTGCCTCAATCCATAATTCATCCTTCAGGATGGAAATCATAGAGAGGGATCTTTGTAAGTCCACCTTCTTGGCCCAAGCCGGAAGCCATCTTGGTGTCTTTCAAACCAAAAATGGTTGGCTGGAGAATTCTGGGAATTGAAGTCCGTGAGTCTTAAAATGGCCACATTTGGAGTCCCTTGGATTAAGCTCTCCTCACGGAGACTTAAAAGATGTTAGCTGGAAGGTAGTAGATGATTTAGATGGGATTGCCAAAATGGTGCCCTTGCTGGATTTTAATTCCGGAGTTCCCGTCCCCCCCTCGGTTCTCCGGTGCCGTCAATGGGGTACAAGATGATGGCGCCTCTCACGTAGCACGAAAACTTGGATTGAAAAGAAAAGAACAATAAAAGCACGTGCATTCTCTGGTTTTCTGCCCTCCCACTCCAAAATTTTCCCCAAATTACAGAGGCAAGCCAGTCCTGTTGCAGAGAGCCAAATTCTGCAAAAATGAGTTTGCATTGAGTTTTTAATCTGGCCTGAGCTAAGAATAAATCACTGAGCCAATCCAAAATCTTTTTTGGAGGTGGGGGCTGGATTTTGTTTCAATTGAAAAAAAAGATGGATTTGCTGCCATTTTGGCTCTTGGTTTGTGAAAGCTGGGTTATTTCTTCCGAATAGTCTCTTTTTTCCCCGTCGCTGTTATTCGAGTCATGATTTTATCTGGAAGAATAACGTAAGATGCTAGTCCTCAAGAATAAACGTAATATTCTAATCCTGAAAAATAAACTTTCTAGAATAAGATTCTAGTTGCAAATAAACTTAAGATTCTAGTCCTCGTGTTTCTGAATAAAAGGCGGTTTAGAAAGGAAATCTGTCCTAGAAATCAATTCAGAGGTTGCAGATGTTTGAGAGTGTCCGTCATTTTGAACCAAGGCAACCGATAAATCTTCCACTTAACACTGTTCCATTTAGTGACCGTTAGCTGGGGAATTCTGGGAATTGGGGTCCACGTGTCTTTAAAGTGATCTAGGTTGGGAAACCCTGCTTTTTGTATTGTTCCCTTGGCAACGCCGTCAAAAGGACTTGTAATTTTGTTCCATGACACTTTTTCCAACTTGGAACAGTCGGATTTGGAAGCCTGCAATTCCCTGATGTGAGGGGTGGGCTTCAAAAAATTTAGCAACCGGTTCTCTGCCCGGTTGCTTGGTGGGTGTGGCCATGGTGGGCGTGACCTAGTCATTTTGCCCTCCCCTGGCTTTCCTTGAGCCTCCAGGAGGGCGAAAATGACCCTCTGGAGGCCCTCTGTAGACCGGAAATGGGCCCGTTTCCAGCATTTTGCAACTTCCTGGAGGTTTTTCGCCCCCCCTGGGTTCCAGAGGCTTTCCGCAAACCTCGGGGAGGCCTGTTTCCCCCTTCCCTGGTCTCCAAGGCTCTCTGGAGGCCGGAAAGGGGCAGGACTACAACTCAGAGTCTCCTGGGGATTGGCCCAAAGTCACCCAGTTGGCTTTCATGCCTGAGGCGGGACTAGAACTCAGAGCTTCCTGGGGATTGGCCCAAAGTCACCCAGTTGGCTTTCATGCCTGAGGCGGGACTAGAACTCAGAGCTTCCTGGGGATTGGCCCAAAGTCAGCCAGTTGGCTTTCATGCCTGAGGCGGGACTAGAACTCAGAGCCTCCTGGGGATTGGCCCAAAGGCACCCAGTTGGCTTTCATGCCTGAGGCGGGACTAGAACTCAGAGCCTGCTGGGGATTGGACCAAAGTCAGCCAGTTGGCTTTCATGGCTAAAAGGGACTAGAACTCATGGTCTCCCGCTTTTTAGCCTGGTAACTTAACCGTTAGACCAAGCTGGTCCCACCTGAAAATGGTGTTTTTTCCCCCCCAATCACTGCAGCTGATCGATTTATAATTGAGAGCAGGCGGTGAATGCCAAAATAATAAAACAACTTTGCCTGTTCGGTTTTCATTGATTCTTTTGGATGCCCTGAATGTAAAATATTGATTTTGTCTCAGAGATTGAGCTGTCCAAGACGGTGCACTATATTCTGGCTCTTCTGGTTAAGACAGCCTTATATCCAAGTTCACGGTTGATTAAAAATTCAGGATTGGTCGATCAAAATTACGTAGGGTCACTGCACACTCTGCCCCTTTCGGACATGTATGTGGTGTCAATGTTACCATGGTAACTGAAGGAAAAAAAAACCCCATCCCTCCTCCTTTCACCATTTCCTTCCTCCTTTCTTTACCCCCTTTCCTTTCTTCCTCTTTTTCCATTTCCTCCTTCTTTCTCCTTTCCTCCCTTTTTAAATTTTCTTCCTCTTTTAATCTTTTTTTCCTTTTCCCCTTACTTGGCTCCTGCTTCCCTTTTTCTTTCCTCCTTCCTTCCTCTCCCTTCCTTTCTTTTCATCCTCCACCATCCTTCCTTTTCTTCCTTCCTTCACTCCCACCATTTTCCTCCTTCTCTCCTTCCTTTCTTTCCTTCTCTCCTTCCCTTCCTCCAATCCTTCCTCCCTCTCTCCCTTTCCTACTCCTTCCCTTCCTTCTCTCCCTCCTTCCCTCCCTTTCCTACTCCTTCCCTTCCTTCCTTCCTTCCTTCCCTCCCTCTCTTCCCCAAAAGAAGAGGTTATTTCCCTAGACTGCTTTTGGTCACTAACAAGGGTGGGATTCAATTTTTTTTAACAAAAGGTTCTGTGGGTGTGGCTAGGTGGGCGTGGCTAGGTGAGCATGGCCAGGTGACTGGGTGGCTGTGGCTTCTTTTTTTGCAGCATCCCCCCGCGCTCCGTTTTTGGACCTCCGGGGCCTTAGGGAATCCGCCTGGGGGAAGCAGTAAGACAGGGACGGGGATCCCGGCACAGCTGATCATCGGAACAGCCGATCGTCGGGATGGGAAAAGTAAAAGAAATACCTTAAGGAGTGACTGGGCAGGGGAGAATGCAGTCAGCGATGTCGGGGATGCGCACGATGTTGCGCATGCACAATAAGGACTGACTTGGCAGGGAGGGGAGGGTGGAGAGGGAAGGGACAGCCAGGGGCACGATTTGCCTGTTCTCCGAACTGCGCAGAATCATAACAACCGGTTCTATAGAACCGGTCCAAACCGGTAGAATCCCACCCACCCCCCAGTCACTAATCAGCATTGCAAGACATCCACAGTTTTAAAAATTGAATTTATGATGGGGAAATGGAAAAGCACGGCCTGAAACCTGATTGCTGCCCCAGCCAACAAACTAGTTTGAGGGCGCAGCTGACGTCGCGACGATACGGCATGCGATCTCGGAAGTCTGAGATCGCAGCCGATATCTTTGCCCCTGGACGGTCCAAACGGATCTAAACCACCCCTTATTCAGCTTTTTCTAGACAAGGGTGAAGACCAGAAAATATTCCTTTATTGTGTTCCAGGAAACAATATCCACATGGGGTGGTCAACAGAGTCTGGCCAGGAAGGGCTGGTACCGTAGTTCAGGATTGACATGGTGGGGAAACAAATTAGTTTTCAGATGAATGGGGCTCTTTCATTAGACCAATTAAGTCTTCAGGAAAGTCCTCCATTTGGACAGGTAGTCCTCGATTTACAACAATTCATTTAATGACCATTTACAACGGAACTGAAAAAAAATGACTTAACGACCGTTTTTCACACTTACAACCGTTGCAGCCTCCCCACTTTTCAAATAATTCAATTTCTTTCAAACAAACCCACCAGGACCGTGCAATCTTCCCACCACTAACTGAATTCCAGATATTAAGAAGAGAAAGCTGGAAATACTTCTGAATAAACCTGCTTGGAACAGGGGGCAAAGGACCCCTTTTCCAGAATAACGAAATAACGGAAGGGACCTTGGAGGTCCTCTAGTCAAACCACTCGCTCAAGCAGGAGACCCCATACCATGTCAGACAAATGGCTGTCCAATCTCTTCTTGAACACCTCCAGTGATGAAGAAGCCACAACTTCTGGAGGCAGATAGTTCCACAGATTAATTGTTCTGTCAGGAAATTTCTCTTTAATTCCAGGTTGCTCCTCTCTTTGTTTAATTTCCATCCATTATTTCTTGTCCTGCCTTCGGGTGCTTTGGAGAATAAATTGACCCCCTCTTCTTTGGGGCAGCCCCTCAAATATTGGAAGACCGCTATCATGTCACCCCGGTCCTCCTTTTTATCAGACTAGACATACCCAATTCCAGCAACCGTTCTTCATATGTTATAGCCTCCAGTCCCCTCATCATCTTTGTTGCACTTCTCTGCACTCTTTCTAGAGACTCAACTTCTTTTGTATATCATTGTGACCAAACCGGATGCAATATTCCAAGTGTAAACCAGGGGTGGGATTCTACCAGTTCGCACCTATTCGCTAGAACCGGTTGGTAACATTCTAAGCAGTTCGGAGAACCGGTTGTTAGAAGAAATTACTGGCCTAATCCTGTAAGGAAGGCAGGAAGGAAACATTCTGGTGTTGCTTACAGAAACTGCCTCTCCGCTAACCCTTATTACATTCTTGGCAGCGCTAGACTTCCTATCTCAGGAACGTCTCTGGAGGTTTTTTTTCCCCCTCCTTTGCTGGTACTTTGCTTGTGTGGAGTGACCATTCAAAGTTACAATGGCACTGAAAAACGTGACTTATGACCATTTTTGGAACTTCCGGTTTGAGCTTCTTCAGCGACAGACCAAAACCTCATCTCTCTGAGGCTTCGATCCGTGCTCGCCGCTGGAGCACCCCGAGCTGGCTGGTTTCGGGGCTAAGGCACCCCATAGAGGTGGTGAAGAGGAGGGAGACTGCCTGCAGGGTTGAGGAGAGCCGCATCTCTCCTCCCCAGCT